AAGCTGCTTTTAAAAATACTTTCATGATCACTGATTTTGACGTCACAAGCAGATTCTCAGTTGGATTTAATATCGAACACAAAATGTTTGCATCTATAGCTTTCTTGGCCGACAAGTAAGTTTGTAGCAAAAAAATCAAGGGAGCAGATAATACAAAAACTAATAAATTAATGGATTCCTTTACGAAGAAACAGTGATCGGTTAATGATATCATCAATAATGTTGGGAGGTCTCCACTTTTCGGTCTTCTTTATTTGCTACTTATTCGGCTGTCGTCTAAAGTTGTGCTTCTCTTTTCCTATGAATTGTTTTTTACCGTGACATTCTCACTTTGTTGCCCTTATATGGGAATATTCCTATCCACTAATCTATGTACATCTCAAATTCGTTCAGGTTCAAATTCGATGAGTTCCGTAGCTAGCTGACCAGAATATGACCGCATCACGAAACCCACCCACTACAATAGTTTGCTCCAAAGTGTTGTATCAATTGAAAAAAACTGCATTACTCTGAGTACCTTATCACCAAGTTTAATCTTGCAAATGAATGGACTATCCCTAAGTTACTGATACCGTCGCCGACCTTGATGGCCAAGTTAGCTAGAGCGTATGCCGACCAGCACCTCTCTCAAGGGTCTCGGGTTCTAGTCCTGCCATGGGCTTGGTTATTAATCTCTTGTCTCTCATCTGTGTATTGCCGTGGAGGACCTCGCGTTCTGCTGATCACAGGGCAGAGGAGCCCATAAAGTGTGTTAATGACGAGTCATGTGTGTTAATCATGTGTTTAGTCAAATATGCGCCCCATCGGGACGTCGGCTCAAATAAATCACTATAAAGAAGAGATTGATACTGTTGATTGAACAATTAGTTGCCTCTAAGCCAGGTTGGTGTAATAATAACTTAAAATAATTGAATAATTGATCATTTAGAAGGCACTTTTCGAATTTCTCAAAAATTACCAAAGTTGTATGTGGAAAAGTTGACGAGCCGGCGACACTAGCGCCTCCTATAGTAGCACCCTGCAGATTTGTGTCCGGTTTTGAAGGAGAGTTGCAGGGCCATGCCCCCCCCGACCTCCCCCACGTCTTGGAAAGAATAGCCGCCCTGCCTCCTGAATCTGCTGCAACGCGGGTTGCATAACTATTTCGTGTTTATCTATTTCTCCCAACACTTATGGTTTAAACGATGTTTCTGGACACGTCAATAGCTATGGTTATTAGTCTCATTAATGCTGGGTATATTATTCCGGTGTCCCTTCTGGCTGGATAGTGAAAAACGGCTTATATCGGTTTGGACAGATCTCCGTCTCCAGGTATCTCCCTTAACTGGGCATCGCCCCAGCTGGGAGAAGTTCGAAGCTTCCAATTAGTCTACCGACATGTGTAAGTACTGTAGGGCATGTAAGCGTATGTGAGAGGAGAGACAATAGGACAAAGAAGAGAAAGAAAAGATTATGCGCGATCCGTGACCCGTATGTTTTGGTCCTGATCTGTCTTTCGAGAAACCCGGAAAACTATCAGTCAGAGCATCCGGCTGCTACAATTCTCCCCCAGACTGCGCCTGAATTCGTCTCGGCTATCTAGCTAGAGTCGAAAATCCGCTATGGTATGGATACGAACCCTAGAACCTACTGTAGAGAGAACGGCAATGCCAGCTGTAAGCTGCCTAATCGGCCTCGCACTTAGGACTATTAGGGACTATTTACAGTATTTGTTCACAGATTTGAATAGTGTACCAACCTCTGATGAATTTCTTCATTCACTCAAGAGCTACGTGCATCATTTTACGTCCAATAAGCCAGAAAATTACATTTTGTAAATATGCCTCACGCATCCCGTATTCCTTCTCCCGCCGTGGTGTTCGGTCTCACGGGTGACCGAGGCAAGCCCAGAGGCTGTGTGACGCGCCCACATAGCGACGCGCGCCGTCGAGTGAGGCGAACTCTCTTATGACGCCCCCGGGCCTCGCCAGCGGCCGCGCGTCACGGGCGCACGCGTGCTCACGTGCTCTTCTAATCCGCCATGCATAATGGACGGCGCCTCTTAAATAAATTACAGCGGCGCGCGTCCCTCGCCCTGGCTTTTCACACGCGGGCGACGCTGGCGCCGCGGCGCGGCGGACTGGCGCAACAACGCGCCGCTTGTGGTAGCGCCGGGGTTCAGAAGTACATTCTCAACAAATGAGTAATGAGACACTGAAATTTATTCGCAACAGCTCTATAATTAATGGTGTGATTCAAGTAACAAAACAAAATGGGCGTAAGGAACAAGTGTTTTTAAAACATTCTCATCTCTATTTTCACTCGCCAAGATTTTTTTTTCATCCCTTGAGATTTATTTGCAGAAATGCATGCCAATAAATATTATTTTTCTAATGCTGTTTCATTTTACATAGACAAGTGATTTACTGTAAATTTAAGTGTGAATTGATGATCAAACTATTGTACAAAATCTGTTAAAAGTTGTTTTGGCATTTTTTTGGAATATTTCAATAAAGCAATCGAATTACAAAACTCAAAAGTAACTAATGACTGTCATTGTTGTTTCATTTTTTTAGGATTGTGAAACAAAACTTTTCACCACTTACAGAAGACCAACATTCATATATATAAATATCATCACATGCTATTTATACCGGATACTGATTCCTTCCAATAATAAATACCTCCTATTTCGAGTGCTTATGATTCTTTATTAAACTGGCGAACACAATCACGCAAATCTGAGTTGCGTAATCACCGGCAGTGCCGCTCAGGCAAACAAATAAAAGAAAAGCAAATAGATTGCCTAATGTGGTCTCTTTACTGAGATCATTCCAACTTCATCACCACTAGCGTCCTAGGTTGAAGAGGTGGAGTTTTTCTATTAAGAAATCTGTCGCCTGCTCCGATCGCGGTGTTTTGTCTTTGAGTCCTCGCTCCCTTTCCGCCGCTTCGCTCGGCCCTACGCTTGCGCGGCCGCGTCGCCGCACCCGGCATGGACGTCGTCTTCGGCCCCAGCGCACAGTAGAACGAAGCACGCGAAAAAGCGCGCCTTAAATGCAAAAATGAAAATCAGTGGTGCCTGCCCGGTGGACGAGATCATTAAGGCAGCTTCGGATCTCGGACCGAAAGATCGCGGGTTCGAGCCATACGTTGGGCATTTTGTATTTGTGTTCGCCTACTTCGGTTGTATTTGTGTTCGCCCTTTCACCACCATCATCACCATATAATGTCATCTGCACAGATAACAAGCCGTTAAATACAATAATGGTCGCTAATGATATAGATGTTGATGAAACCTTAAATAACAAAACAATTAGTGATACGGACGAAATGCATATGTGTTTTTAATTTTTATAAATTATGTAGATAACTTTATATTTACACTAGTTTTTGATTACTATTTCATAATAAACTAACAGAGCTACATTAGAACATACATTGCATTATTATTTGCAACTTTTGCAAATTTTAAAATACAAAAGCACCTAATTTGAGCTTTCACCGTTTTTATAAGCGTGTTTTGACCTCTCGGAAAAAAATTGAAACCACTCTTGAGATGTTTCAAACATTGCTTGTATTCCACTCAATATTAAGTAATAACTACTCCTCTTTTCGAAAAATTTTACATTAATTTATTTAAAGATCAATCGTTGAAGAACGGATTTCATTAATAAAAAAAATCATTTTCAATATTTTAATTTTGCAAGTTTTGAAAATTCATATATGTAATCGAAAATGAGAACTGCGCAATTTTATTCGTCTTTTCGGGAAAAGGGTTTTATAAAAAGCACCCATTTTTTGAGAAAATGTTGAAAGTCTTATTGAGACTTCATGTAATTGTATACTCGAAAATGAAAATACCCGTTTCAAATCCTCGGAGCTTCGAGTTGGGTAAGGTCGATTTGAGAAAGTCAATTTTGGAGAAAAATCATCTGAACGGTTTAGATGTTAGCATTGACCGCAGACGTACAGGAGACGGAAAGACGGACGGACGGACGGACGGACGGACGGACCGACGGACCGACGGACCGACGGACCGACGGACGGACGGACCGACGGACGGACGGACGGATGGACGGACCGACGGACCGACGGACCGACGGACCGACGGACCGACGGACCGACGGACCGACGGACCGACGGACAGACGGACAGACGGACAGACGGACAGACGGACAGACGGACAGACGGACAGACGGACAGGCAGTTTTGCAGTCAGCACATTTGTTTGTAACAAGCACCCACAAACCGTGAATTTGACTACACAAACGATAGTATTGAACTATACATAGAAATAAGATTTATCCAATTCTTCGATATCAAAGTACCATAGTACGAGTTTTTCTGACAAATACTCACCACTTTCCACTACAATTCATTGCAGTAGTTATCATTACTAAGACATGTAAAAGCGTAGAAAGCGAGAACGCAAGAACAAAATTCGTAGAATTTGAGTAAAAAATCATTCATGTGTTTTGAACAGAAAATTACGTATATATTAGAAAATGCTGTACCATTTTTACGTATCGGAGTACGAAGATGCAACATTTACTCAAAAATGTCTGTTTACAATGATAAATTTTAAGCTTAATTGTGACTGCGACCATGACAATAACAGTATTTAGAAGAATGTTTGAAATGTGAATAAGCAATTTTTACGCGAGCTCCGTACAATTTCTACTGATTTTCAAACATTCTATATATTATCGAATTTGCTTTCACTGTTTACTAGGCTGTCCGGGTAACGCCGCGTCCATGGCGAAGGTGTCGACGTTTCGGTCGCCATTCTGCGACCTTCCTCAGGGCGTATTATACTAGCCTAGTAAATACTGACTCCGGCCGCGGAAGCCTACGCTCTCACGTGCTTTGAGTGGTAAAAGACAAATACAGTACACGAATTTATTCCCATTTTCAGAAGGATAAATATATGGATATACTTAGTTAATAAAGGTCAATACATGCATATGCTTTGTAATAAGCAAAAACAATACATTTTATTAATTAGTCATTACTAGCAGTACGTCAAACAACACGCAATTGAATACAATGAAAGTAATTGAATATTAAGTTAGAACAATCTATAATATACATTTTTAAAACTGTTATCTTAAAGATTAGATTCAACATTAGTAACTCGCATCGTCATATTTGCTCAATTTCGTAGGCAGACGTTTAGCAGACCTCTGTGTGAAACACAGTAGGCGGACTTCAACTATTGTAACCCACTGTGTGCTGTCGCCGCTACCTTTCTTTGTGCACGTCCCCAGGCACGGTCGGTCTTCGGAAGAAGTGTCAGGGCGGCCGCAGAAGAGAGATTTATGAAAAAGGAAAACGCTGTCAACTATTTTACGGCCCATATTCGTGACAAAGAACGTAAAAGTTCGTCAGATTTTTTTTTCACGCGGACCTTTCAAGAACAAGCCTCAACATAAAATTAATTACTTCGCACCGCTGCCCCTTTTTCGGACAGCTCGTGCCTCCGCCAGCCAGCGCTGCCGTGCGCCTGAACACACGAAAGTAAGTAAAATATGTGTAAGAAGAGCTCAACTGCACACATTACTTCTTCTGAAGGAATTTCAACTCATTTTCTATCCCGTTGGATGGAAATGTCTCATGGATATTTTTGGAAAACATTGTATTGTATACAAGAATACAATGTATTATGTATTATATACAAAAATATAACCTTACAACTTATTTTCTGTTAAAACATGCTTTATTGTAGATACGAAAAGTGTATAAAAAGTAATCATTGAGCATATCTACCGTAATTAATTCACCATCTAATAATTATTAAGGAACAAGTCGATGTCAAGAGGCGTATTGAAATAATAATAGGAAATCAATATTGGTGCATTTGTGATATTTAATATTTCCCAATATGTTATACTCCTTAATATCGAAGACATTCCACAAATATTCCAAAAATATATTTTCATATTGCACAAATATTTATTGAGAATAAATAATTTTCGTAGGTGAAATAAGATTTTGACCTACTATCTAGCAATAAACCTAGAAAATCGCTCGAAGAATCAGAATAAGGTTGTAAGCCGGCGTGAACCAGAGAGCTCGAACGAAGACAAATGAATTCAAACGTATTGTTAATAATGACAATTGCCAAATCGTATCCAAGACACATACCTATTTTCTTTCATGTTGTGGGGTCAGTAATGTGGGGTTGAAAAAGTATCCGATATAAAATTAATGTCAGTCAAGAGAAACTATGCTTCTTTATAAAAAAATTCAGGTAACACATGTTTTCTATACTATTGTTATTAAGTATACAATTTTAATATTATATGGATCGATTTGAAAAACATATATTTATCAAATAAATAAATATCACGGGTACATATGGCATTACTTTTCTATAAATATCTATGACTTGCAAATGTTCCGTTTATTAGTCTTATTTACATTTTTCATGTTTTACCAGTAACATAGTTTTCAGAATTCTATAAAGCAGAAACATTTTTTCGAAAAAAATTTATTTTGAAAATTACGTCAACTTTCAGGTGAAATGAGAAAATACATGGTATTTAGAATCTTGTCCCATTAAGAATCTTATCAAAAGACGAATCAATGATTCTTAACTGGAGTTCAAGGAAGAATAACATACTGTGAGGCTTGTGATATCTACATTTTCTTTTCAAACGTGGCCTTCATTATTGTATAATTAACCATTTCGGGTCACAATGACCACTGCAGTAGCACCATCACCGATCTACGGTAAGTTGTTAAATGCAAATCTTTACAATATAATCGATAATGCATCGAAGTCATTATGGAACGTGTTTCGAAAAACGCTATGCTATGTAGCTATGTGAGATTTATATTACAAGGTTGAAGTACTTGATAGAAAAGCTGACTCGAAGAAAAGTAATTTCGTAGACACAGCTGCCACTTACACACAAGAAAAACAATGAAAATATCCAACGTATAAAAAAAGGAACTGTATCATGTTCGTGATATGTCTCTCTTATCCCCCAAGAGTGGAAAAAGACCCAAGCACGGAGGACATAGATTGCCGACAGGCTCGTACAATCGACACAGAACGCCAAATACATGCATACAAACTGATGGCGGTGTCTGACAAACGTAATTTATGTAAGAATATAATGTTTAAATATTATCACAAATTTATAACATGTTGAAAGAAGTTGTGAAAAATGTATTTTTGTATCTTAGTAATGAAGTACACTTCAATGAAATTGGAAATGTTCAAAGAAGTACTTTTTTATATCAACCTTCAGACGCTCGCGCGATTTAGTATCGCATGCGCGATCGCGGGGCGTTTTTTTGCCACCGACAAACATTCCTTTTTCTCAATATTACAACTTCCCTTGATCGTCAATCATGGAGTATTAATTCAATAATATCAACTGGGCACTGTAGTAGATTAAAAAAACATTTGAACAATTTTAATTATCCACCAGGAATGACGTTTCTGGAGATAATCTGCAAAAGCTGTCTTCCACTTTTGCTTCACAAAACGCTGATGAGAAATACACACTTTACAATAATGGTACAATAAAAATCTAAATTAAAATCTAATAAAATAGAAAGGTCAAAATCTAGTATGATTAAAATGATCAAGAGGAGGAGAGACAATGTCTAGGTAGCTAAATACGTTATAATAAAACTAGAATAGCAATATCTAGGCACTGTCAATGATCTTTTCCGGAAAGTCCAGAGCGCAATTTACTTTCTTTGTCACATTATGGGGCATCTTTCTGGGGTTTACAGCCTATGAAGCTAGTTTAAAGTCTCATTCACAATAAAACTTAAACGTTACGTAAAGGCAAAAGCTTGTTGCCATGTTATTCTATGGAACTATTCAACTCGACGAAAGTGAACATATACGTCAGCATAAATATAAGACGTAATCGTAAAAGTTCGCAAGGCTAAAGCTTTTATGCTCATTTTCGGGTAATCTGAAAACAACACACTATCGTGTACCGCGCAAAGATCCAAAAGAACGGTTTCTTAGTAAAAAAACAAAAAACTACTGCAGTTTGTAAGAGCGTAAGTTGCCATTTATCATCACAGTTACTCATGATACGAGTCAAATAATAATTCTTGGTATTCATGGTATACTAAATATCAGCCTACCATGCACGCCTCTTTTTAATAATTTTTTATTGTAAATATAATTTCTGGACTGAGTATTTTATTACATCAAAATAGAAGAGAAGCTGTGTTTACATTTACGTTCAGTATGACTAAGTCACTGTGTACATTTGTGTTCATTAAACGAATAGGAAAAAACCAGAACAGCATAAGTGACATTTTATAAATTATAATAAATTTGTTTATTTAAGTCAATATCACTGTAGAGTGGTAATGCTTTGTTTCATCACTAAAACCGCGGCTTATCAATATTCATTAAAACCACGAAAACACATTCCAACTGAAAAATAGCCTAACACTTTTTTTCAGAATTTCAAAAATGTCTCATACTGTTCTGGTTTTCACATATGCAAATGTAATATCTGGGTCGCGTTTCTTAACTAATGGCTTGAAGATGTGCGGATACAGTGGGTGTATTAAAAATCGGTCACTAGAATTTGCGAAGTAATGCAACCTCTGGAAAATTAAACACAAACCTACATTTCAATGTAATGCGTGAGTTTTATTTTAATTTCTTGACTTGGAAAGCATACTGAATTCGTTTGCCTAAAGAGAAACATCTTGCTTTATAATAATGAATTGGGTCTTATCAAACGTAACCGTCATAATTGTAACTAAAAAGACAACCTTTTTTTAATTTTCTGAATTTTAAAATTCAACTTTCACTCTGAGATATGAGCTGGTGTAAATATATCAAACGCATTGTTGTACATAGCATGAAATATTGGTCTCTTAGCATTTTACTTCTTTTATCTGGTATTTCTGAACCATTTAAAAGATAAAAATCTCATTTAGTGTTAATTTTCCAATCGTCGAAATACTTGCACCGTTGTAAGTAGATGCCCGTTGAATAGTGTTACTTTAGGGATAATTGTAATAGGGAATTTTCCCCAAGTATCATGTCTTCAAAACTTTCTTAATAATAATACGTTCACCGTTATGAATTCCGAAATTTATCGGGCATTCCAGGTTTATCCTGTGAATGAACTGGACTTGCTTCAGCCATTTCTTTAGAAATTTTCGATGAAAGCAATAAACAGGAGTTCCCGTCCTCAACAGAATAGCTTCTGTTTCACACCAATTGAGATGTTTCAAAAGTCATTAGTGTTCACTGTGGACCTTTACCTTCAACTATTTATTGTACCATGAGAGAGGAGGTAATCGGTGAAGAGAAGCTGCGCAGATAATACCTGTTCATATGAGAGCGTAGGCTTCCACGGCAGGAGTCAGCATTTAATTGGCTGTCCGGGTGACGCCGCGTTCGTGGCAAAAGGGGCCACGATGTTACGCCCTGAGGAAGGTCGCAGAATAGCGACCGAAACGTCGGCACCTTTGCCATGGCCGCGGCGTCACTCGGACAGCCAATCAAATATCTGTTCATATTTTTAAACCTGAGTTAACATTTGCCCTAATGGCGACGTCGGCGTGCCCCGCAGGAACCCGCCCGTATCCGAGCCCCCGCCGGCCCCGCGGGAGCCCCGGGGCGGGGGCGGGAGCGGGGGGGGGTGGCGGAGCGGCGGCGGCGGGGCAGAGAGGCCGGCGCCTGACGCCGCTAGAGAAGGCGAGGCCGAGGGCGACGCGGCGACCATGGCGGCCGTCGGCGGCGACCAGGAAGCCGGGCAGCTCCAAGGCGCGCCCGCCGGCTCCGCGCCGCCGCCAGCGAAGAGGTCACACGCGTTCACTCGTTGTCTTTCGGAACCTCAATTCCTAATTTCCAACGCGGGCAGGAATCGAAAAGAAAGTATGTAGGCTCATGAGCAGGGTTCCGATTCTGATGACAAAATTCTTTAAAAATGGACATAAAGTGACATAAATCAGATGAAAATTACTTAAAACTTAGGGGAAAATTACATTTTGTAATATTCAGAAATTAGTAAGAATCAATGAACTTTTAAATTGTAAATTAAGTTTATTTTTATAAAATAACATTTACGAGTAATATAAAGTCTTTATTTTAGAAGGAAATGTGATCATTAACTTCGATACTTTAACCGTCAATTTAGAAAGGTCGAGGAAGTTACTGAAGATCCGTGTAATTTTGAGAGTTCAAGAAACAAGAGTCCATGCAGTACTGAATTCTCTCATGTCCTAATAGTACAATCAAAATATTGTTTTATTGCGTCATTGTAAATTCATGAAGCTTTCACAAACAAAAAACACGAAAAGGGAACAAAATGCATAAAAATGACAATTACTCAACATACCAGAAGAATGCCCTAAAAATTGAAAAATGCCAATAGATGACAAAAATGACACAATAACAATAAATTTCTATCACCAATATATCGTTAAAAACATTCATGTACAAGTTAGCTTTGTGTAGATTACACTAATGGAAAGATGACATGTCATCAGAATCCAGAACTCTGCTCTTGAGCTGTCTATTGTTTCGTTGGATCCCCAGGAGCTCGGGTAAAATCCAAAAATCAATAAAACAGTTTAGTTTTTGACTGCAAGAAGCAAGTATTTCAGTATATTATTCCGCCAACTCTAATACTTCTCCTACACTACTGCTACGCTTACGGGGCTAATGACCATAGAGACGCACCCGGAAACACGAAGTAATCCATCAATCCTCTCCCTAGCAGGCCGCATCTTTTCTCTGCAGAAAACCAATGGCCCGGCGCACGTCATACAGACCGCACAGTTCAGAATAAATAGGTTAATACTATTTACAACGAAACGTAGATTCACTCTACTCACTATAAAGATTTACATTGAAACGCATGTTTGAAAATTCGCAGCATGGGACACTGTAGAATCACAACTACGTGCAATTGTGGGCATTAAGTAAGAACCAAAAAGTGTAATGGAAAACAAATGAAAAAGAGGAGAAACATTGTCGTCTGGGATATAGAGAAATAACATAGTAAACAAAAACATTTTGTTTTCTATACCTCCAAGATGAGCAGTGGGCGATTCCAAAGGAAACGATACCGCCGATTTCGAAAATCATTACAAAACGTTTCTATCATGCAAGGTTCCAAATATATTAACATAATTCGTATTTGTTGATTTTTGTACACAAAATTCTAACACAAAATTCTATACACAAAAATAAACAAAATTCTATACTATTTTCCACATTGCCACCCAGGTTATATTATTACAAAATTGTATGAGCATGCATCATTTGAGGTAAGAACAAGTTAAAAATGGAATAAGCATATTCCTGCAATAATATGCAGATATTAAAATGGTTTGTTGGTATTCTTCACAACATTAGTAGAGTTTTCCGTACATGAGTTTTCCGTACGACCATACCCTAAGGTTCGTTTTATTGACGACACACCACTGGTGAGCAGCCCGTAGTTCGTCGTGATCATAATCGCGACAACGAAAGTATAAATAATACGCATGTTTTGCAATTTCATATTTATTTTTTCCTTTGAAATTTGG